CCGACATGATGAAACTAAGACACATGTGCAACATCTGGGTATCTTTATTGTAGACGTTTCGCCATCCAGTGGCTTTATCAATACAAATTCCAGGACATAACTTGAAGACAGTAGAACTATGTACAGAAGATGAGATAATCAATCCCTCAACCTAGGAGTAGGTGCGAAGAGCACCGTAGTCGTGGAGACTCTGAAGCAGAAGCAAGGCGCCTGACGCTTATATACTAACGTCAGGTGAAAATGGGACGTTTAGCAGACGAGGGCATAGTCACTGGTAGGCGGGATTCCCCAGTGGAAGTAGGTCCTGCCCAAAGAGATGGGTAGGACCTACTCCTTCTACAACTAACCCATCTCTTTGGGTAGGACCTACTTCCACTGGGGAATCCCACCTACCAGTGACTATGCCCTCGTCTGCTAAACGTCCCATTTTCACCTGACGTTAGTATATAAGCGTCAGGCGCCTTGCTTCTGCTTCAGAGTCTCCACGACTACGGTGCTCTTCGCACCTACTCCTAGGTTGAGGGATTGATTATCTCATCTTCTGTACATAGTTCTACTGTCTTCAAGTTATGTCCTGGAATTTGTATTGATAAAGCCACTGGATGGCGAAACGTCTACAATAAAGATACCCAGATGTTGCACATGTGGGATTTCGTGAGTCATGACTGCTTTTGATGTTAATAAGAACAGTCTTCCTTCTGTTGCCTCAAACTTGCTCGATCTAGGTTCATCTTTCGTGTTAAAGCTTCTTTCCTCCTCCTCATTTGGATCTCCTGTGCTCTTTGAAACATAATATACGCAAAAAAAAAATGATGTCAAGGAAAATTATTGCGTTGTACGAGAAACTCGTATTTTAATACCGTATCCTTCAAACTTTTACGTAAGTGTATAGTTCTTCAGACGTACACGTAAGTGTATAAGCTCTTCAGACTTGTACGTTTACCCCATTTTTTCACGTTTTTTAGTAAGGGTCCTGCATAATGGTCTAAAAGTAGCTTTAGGATATGATCTGGTAAGCCAAAAGTAGGTATAGATCTGATGACTCAAAGCTCTTCCGAGTGAGTCTTTATATAACAAAGATCCGCGTCACGATCAATTTTTCCTGACGAATAAAATACCTCCCGAGTGCCTTGTTTGGTTCCAGTAATGTTTTCTTTCCTTCTAGTTTATTTTACTCTTAGCTGCGTCATATGCAAAAGTTCGCATGGTACGCAAGTCTGTATTATCGTAGTATGATTGTAGTCTCATAATTATTGTATAGAGCAGGTATCATTATCTATCCCTCCTTTCTCTGAAGTTCAGTGTGTATATGTATACTCTCTTGTTATCTACCACTCTTTATTATTGTTTTGTTTGCTTCCTTACATTTAATAAAAACAAGAGATGATGATGATGCTCAGAAGCACCAGTAGACAGAGTATCCGGCTCCAATACACAAACATTTTGACTTCGTTTCCGAGAAAAGCGAGACGTGTAGGTAAATTCTGCTGCCCTTGTTTATCTAGCTGTAATTAGTTACTAGAGTGTTAGACCTGATATGGATCGCAGCCTGAGGAGTGGCACACCTTAAATAGAACTTGTCTGTACACAAAATATGTTGAACACCGGAAACTTTCAGCATCGCATCACCTCTTACACAAATCATTCTCTGAAACAGATGCGCCTCAGCTAATGACGTCAAAGCCTTCCCGTCTGTCACTACCATGCGTTCCAACACCTCTCCTTATCCACTCTGGTGTGATGGATGAGGTGTGTGTATATAAGCTTGTCTTGTGTAGAGAAAGTATCATTATTTTTCACCTTTTTGTTCTTGTCTCTTTGTATAGAACACATTTCTTTATCTCTGCATTTAAATTTATTTATTATCTCGTTGAATAGATAACTTCTCTCGTTAGTATTTTCCATGTATTTTCTTGTTTATTTTATAATTATTTAGAGAAGTTTTCTTCTATTTGCTCTCCTTCTGTTGTTATATCTCCTTAGCTCATTGTATATCCCCTCCTCGTATTGTTCTGTCTCGTTATCATAGAACAAAGTCGATGTCTTGTTACATCCCTCCCTCTTGTTACACTTGAATGGTCCTCAGCGGGAAGCACCCGTTGTAAACAAGTTAATTGTGGACTTAAGCTTGCTGGCTACCTACCCCACACCTTCTGGTACTGTACCTCTGTTGGGACATAAGGTACTACAACCTTACTAGCTGTATCCAAAGATACACACACACGAAAGTAGTGTTTCCTGCTACCACTGAGTCCTGATTTTTCACCTTTCACGAGTTTTGAGAGTATTATTACTCCCGTACGCCGGCACTGGTCACACAATTGAGCATAAATGCTGTAGAACAACTGCCTAAATTATATTTAACTGAATCTCGCCTGTCTAGATAAAATCAAGGTGTATGTCACCTGTTACGACCTGTGAGAATCATTTGCTCCTGTGAGAGTCAGTTGCTCCTGTGAGAGTCGGTTGTTCTTGTAAGAGTCAGCTGTTTGTAGGTGCCAGTTACGGACCATGTAGGACTGGCTACCTTTTACCCTTTTAAGATCCCCTATGTAAAGTTATTTACAACCTCTTTATCATTTGAGAGATAATTCTTTAAAAAATTAAAAGAACTGTGAGTGTCGTAACCAGATGTAACCTGTGTGCCTTCCCCGTCCCCCTCTATTTTAATGACGGAATTTGAGAAATTCGTGCAAAACATTGAGGTGCTTCTGGTCGGCACTTGAAAGTTGATTAATTATAACTCATCATGAGGCAGCGAGCCGACAAGTAGACGAGAAGACATTCAAAACATCGTAATCCTTAATTGTGTATAGTTCGCTCAAAGAGAGAAAGAACTGTATTAGATTAATATAACTTGATAAAGAATCCCACGAGTGAAATGTTTTTATAAAGGCTTACGCTGTTTTATGTTTTTCTTCACGCGATGTTCAAGGATAAAAAATTCATCAGCGTATATCTTTTGCGTGTGTTGTCAAATCCCTTTGTAAAACCCTCGTATTGCAGGATTAAGAAATGCGTAAATTGCAAGGGATTATAATAGTAACCTGGAGTTTGATTAATAATTAGTATGTCTTCAGTCCTTTGTAAACATAAGCATTTTTTAAAATTAGTTTTCTGAAACGCAAATCAGAGTTGGATAAGACAGAAATAGTGGAAATGTTCAGTCACAATGAAAGCAGCTCACTGGGGCTACTCCACCACTTAACACTGGCGTCAAACCAGCACTGACGTCGGCACTGCCACTATCGTCAGCACCACCACATGGCTGCTGTACCACTTGCCTCGTATCTGCTTCCATTTGATAAACGAGAGTTAATCGACGTGGGTTGAGTGTGCACTTTAAAAATATTCCACTTACCCGAGGATGGGGAGAGCAATTAGAAAGATTGAGGCAGTGATGAGTTGTCTTCGGTAGCTCTGGAAAAATAGCACTTGTCAGGAGAAATGCTTTTGACTTGGTGTCTGGATTTATAGCAAAGAGGCAGACGGGCAGAAGACATACAAAGGTTTATCATTACATCAATAATATACAGTACTGACAAGTAAAGGATAAGACACTTATTCAACGGATTGGTATCTGTATTATGAAGGCGTTTATCTGGAGTTTATAAGGCGTTTCGCTAACGAGTGGCTGAGGGACTGATTACCTTGTCTGCTGTCTCTAGCTTGAAAAAGCCACTGGTTGGCGGAACGTCTTGATAATACAGGTACCCAGGTATTGCACATGTCTTATTCATATTGTACACATTATATTTGAAAAATTAGGCAGCTACAAGAGTAAAAATTATGGATGAGTGTGTTTGTATCGGCCATGTTGACAGGTCAGACAGGAGGACGAGTAAACAGATTTATATGTAGACCGACAGGTGGAGACGGACATAAGAGACAGAGAGGGAAAAGTCAACAAACAGACCATGACCCACAGATTTACAGAATTTAAAAAAAAATATGAATAAGCAGGTGGATGATCAAGATTTTTAAATTATTTTCAAAAGGCTATTTACATACAGTCGTAAAATTTCCAGATATATTGTTTTATTTTGACATAAACTCCAATATTTTCTTTCGTCTTACTTCCCATATAACGTTCGAAGCCCTGGCTATTCAACTAAAAATAAAAATACTAGTATAATAAGGAATAATATACAAGTCAACATAATGGCTTTATGCAACTCTGCAACTACCTGAAAGACCAGACTTCAGGCACTGAAGTGCAGTTTAGGAACCACTATTATTGACATAGTTTTTCTATGATACTGGTTTAAAAAAAATTATACGCATGTGGAACGTTAAATATAAAGGTTAAAGTGTATCATAGGATTATTTTTATCAAAAATATGTCGGTATTTGTGTACCATTGTTATCGAGAATTCAGGTGATTGAAAAACCAACTTGGATCTTTTTGATGTCATGTATCTATTTTGGATGTCATGTATCTATTTCATAGATCCAGAGACAGTTGTTGGAAGGATGAATATCAGAGTGTATTTATCGGCGAATACGTTTCCAATTACAAAAAAAAAAAAAAAAACAGTAAAATATTGCTGGTGCTACAGGCGAGCTGAACTTCCACGCCATTACCAATACAATTAAAAAAAATGACAATGAGGAAGAGGTACATGTGTAGGAATAAAGAATTTAGTAAAGTTTGTTGGTAAAGTAAAACTGTTCAAACACGTTATTTCAATTTTCAAATGTTTTTATTGATATAAAAATATAAATACTTGAAAGTATATCTACATTGCTGGCAATATCTCTAAATTTTTGTCATGAAAATTTAATAATGATAATGCATTGTTTTATAAATGCTAAATAAACTTGCATTTATATATTATGTTTAAATTTATAAACAATTTCACTGTGACAGTTAATAAATGTTTACAAATTGGAATGGTGGACGTATTTCATGTAAAAACAAAGAATGGAGTTACTTATTTTCCCATTCTGCCCTCTATATTTGTAAGATCCCAAATACATGAGATTGAGCTCTTTTGCAGGTGGTGCCCAGAGTCACTGCTACAATGGATGGTACCTTCTGCCCACCCTGCATCGTTACCACCCAAAGATTAAATATACCAACACCAGCACAATTCCTTGTCTCAACTATTACTAGGGACCCCAGTTCAAACCTGAAGCCGCTGGATAGGAACATGTTTATACCTGTTTCCCAGTTAAAAGGACACCGATGCAATTAATGTGACAGTTTTTGTGACAATGTTTCGCTTCCAAGAGCTTTGGCAAGACTAAAAAAGCTCCTGGAGACTAATACGTTGCCATAATAAAATGTAAAATTAGATACGTGTGTTCTTTTACCTAACATTTTGTCGGAAATTCTACCATTATTTCTACCTATTGCCCAGTTCACCTAGTGGTAAGTACCTGGTTGTTAGGTGACTGGTGTGGGTAGCTTTCTGGGTCTGCCTGGGTCATTTTCTTTGTGATAATAGTATAAAGTCCTCTACCACCACCTCTCATCTTCCAACTTTTCGCTTAGTTTATTAGGGTAGTTTTCTTATGCAATTCCCATCGTTAATCCCTTTACCGAGCAAGCCAATAAATTTATTGGCTTGCCTGGTAAAGGGGTTATTGATGTATCCTGTAATTACAAATACTATTTTATTTTTCAAGTTAGAGTATTGTTGGTTTCTGAAGAGACGAGTTATACATGTCGCCTAAAATGCGTCTTTCATCACAGCTTAACCACAAATTGGATGAGACGACTGTCATGGATCGCTAAGTTATGACTTGACAATATTCCATGACGAACCAAAACGTCGTTAAGTTTTAAAATTGTGGGTAAGTTGCGAATTGTTTCAGCCAATGAGCAATGAGTTTGGAAATGTGAGTACAGTTGTTAAAGCAGCTACAGCCAGCTGCAGGGAGGACTCAGTGTAACTTGGTTGTAACTCCGTAGTGCCACATGAAAGATATTCTTAGAGGGAATGAGGCGCTAAGAAATATTTACGGGTTGCCGAGGCAGGTGTGGGTATCAGCCTCCTAATTTGGCACCTATTGCATCAAGCTTTTGCCAAGAGGACACCATATTAACACAGCAATACTCCGGCGTTTGTTAAGGCTTCCAGGGTAGGTACCTTTACTTACATGCTTGCTACCACACTCCCTTCACTTCAGGGGAAGGGGGTGTAGCTGTGCCCTCATGCACCCAAAACCCGCCTCTGTGACTCGTTCAGTTACCCTGTCAGTTCCCCTTAGTATTTTGTACATCGTAATCACGTCACCTTCGGTCTTCCTGTCTTCTTCTCATCAGGTTTTGCTCTTCTAGCTCCTCCTTATAAGCTCATACCCTTCACCTCTGGAAATAATCTTGTATTACAAAATATTAACTTTTTCCAGCTCTTTTACATGCTTTATCAAATGCAGGTTCCATACTGGCACTATGCACTCCAAAATGGCCTGACATATACCGTGTATAGGGCCGTGAATGCCTCCTTGTTGAGGGTCCTCAAAGCTCACTCTTAAATTTTCCAAGTTGGGTTTTGCTGCAGTGGTTATTTAGTTGATGTGAGCCTCAGGCGACCTTTTAGTTTTCCAGGCTCGTGTATATCCTTTCCTTCTATTCGTCGTTTTTTTCTCATTAATTTAAAATTGCAACAGGGATACAAGCAGAATCTTCTGGCATGGCATTCACATATACCAAAAACGGTAGTAGATAGTTTTATTCTTCTTTCTCTCTCTATTTTTTCTATATTAGAACGTTTTGTCATTAATATTTTTCGCATGAGTATTTTATCTTGTCATCAACATTTATGTATTCAGGGTGGTGGTAGAGAGGAAAATAATAAGAGTATAGTGTTGTATAGTGAGGTGCGTCGTTCTTGGGAGAATCATGCTCTTAATTTAGCCATTCATGGGTGTGTTTCTCTCTCTCTCTCTCTCTCTCTCTCTCTCTCTCTCTCTCTCTCTCTCTCCTCTCTCTCTCTCTCTCTCTCTCTCTCTCTCTCCTGATACACAGACGCTGACTCGACCCTTCCCTACCACCTGACTTCCCCCTGTAACCCTCAGTATTGTGAGGAGCTCACCCTGAGTCTCTCACTGACTTCCAAGGAAGCACTCACAAGTCACACAGACTTGACAGTACTAAAATACGTATTCATATACGTAAACATTCATCCTGGTGTGAATGATTTCTGCATTGCAATTCGGCTGTTATTTTTTCCCCTCAGCTAACGCCTACTACTTTACACCACTAGTGATATAAACCAAAGATTCATTTATCAATTTTTTTTCACCTGTGTATTATCATCCGATGAGTTCGTTGCGTAGATTCTATTGTTAAACAGTGAGTCTCCGGGTACTCGTCCAAGAGTTGTGTTTATGCTCTGCACTCACCCAGCAGTTCGTATTTTCCAGTGCGAGTCACCCAACAGACGCAAGACTCGTCCAACAGACGCAGGACTCGCCCAACAAATGCAAGACTCACACTAATGACAGATGGAATGATTAATATCGGATTTTCCTTTTTAGCTTTCGCTTTTCCTGGATTTCACTGGGAGAAAGGACTGAGGAGTTTTGTTATACACAAACTGTACTTACAGAGGAATAACAATGTGCCTTTTAATTGCATAGTTTTTCTGTGTACACATTTTCGCCATACTTGAAATATATATATATATATATATATATATATATATATATATATATATATATATATATATATATATATATATAATATATATTGAAATGGCTGTGTAAATATATAGTTTCATATACGTGTACCACTTCACGTTGCTTGTATATTGCATGTTGTAGGTATTACAATATACACACCTGCCATTCTCTCTCTCTCTCTCTCTCTCAATGAGGGGTGGAGATATGTTGAAGCTTTTAACTGTTGTATCGGCACGCCTCTGGCTTGACAGTGAGGGAGTGAGTGATGATTAAAGTTTTTCTTTATTTTTTTTGGGTCACCCTGCCTTTGTGGGAAACATCCGTTGTGTATGTCTACATATATATATATAAAGGCTTCAAGGAAGGGTATTTGGATTTCTTCCTGAAGCCGTTTAAATATTCCACTTCCCCTACCACCCCATCTTTTCATTCTTTTTTACCAATAGGTATATTTTATTAAATAATATGGTACAAAAGGTTTAAGAGATACATTGTTGATATACAGATGGCATATACAGTACATGAGATGTGAGAGATACATGTCTAGTACATATTAGTACATATTGTTTCATGTTTGTCATTGATTATAATGCAAAAATCTTATCCAGCTCTTCAGAACTGGGGCGCGAGCCCGAAATACAGCAGGCATTACCCCTCTGAACAGCAGCGCTGAGTCGCTGGAACAGAAAACTAGCTGCCCTGGGATCCCTAGTTACCCTGTTGAGTCTATTGCCTAGCTCCTTAAGAAACTTAGATGCACTCTTTCCCCATGAGCCGAGGGTCTCTGAGCCTATGGGAACAATCATATATGCATGTATACATGTGAACACAGCGCGCGCGCGCACACACACTGTAACTCGACCTTCAACCACATATAAGGGAGTACACATGCATAATGTAGCAGTTCGGTCAGAAATACTCTGGGCACTTCTCTGCCGGGTTTTAGCATGATAACTTCCAATCAGTGAAACCTATCTTAGCAAACATCAGGAATGAGTGTGAATATCTGAAGGGAATCTTGCCATGGCGAAAAGACTGCGTTAACGAGTATTGTGTCCGTGGATTCGGTGAGAGGGATGCAAAGGGTGTGTAGAAATATGTTCTTCCCAGGGAAGGGAACAGATGTTAGAGAAGGAAGAGGGGTGGAGGAGAAGAATAAAAATGATTGTTTAATATCTTTCAAACGTCAACAACAAGCATGATGAGCTCCTCGCTTGTTTGTTTTTTTCACTGTGTAGAGCGTCACGTGTATTTTGCGATAGTGGGTGATATTGTCAGTGTTTGGCCTGGGTGCCTAGTGTCAGTCACCTCTCATCCTCCTTTCCCTTTCATGAGGGCTGTCAGTCCACTTTGCCTCTACGAAGGACCAGTCCAGTCCACCTCCACCCACACGTTTCCTTCCCAACCAGCACAGCCTCCCTTGACACATTGAGCAATGGTAGATATTGTTGCAGCTAGTCAATCACACAACAGGGGAAACAGTGCATCGAACAATGTGAGGAGACGCACATGTCAGGTGTGTGGAGAACATCGAGCTCTCATTAGTAATGGAGCTACACACACACACACACACACACGCGCGCGCGCTCGCGCACGAACGTTCCACTTGCAGCCTAATAAGTTGTAATGACTTCTTGGTACAATCAAAGCCTCTACAAACAGGACCTTATCTCACATCCCTAAAGCAGGTCGTGTACATGCTATAGGTGAGTCCATAAACCTTCTCAGGCATGTCAATGAAGGGAAAGCAACTCAGAAGCCTGAGGCAGCATCAGGACATGACGCAACCTGCTTCTACTTGGCAACGTTTGACTAACAGCACTAGCAATAGACGAAAAAAACACAGGCCTCAACAGTCATCAGAGCAATAGTAACTTTTCTAGAGCATATAACTTGATCTGTTTGCCCCATCAACACACGAATCGCCGAGGTAAACACGAGGAAATTGACACAGATAGCAAGAAAGTTTGCGTAAATGGTGTAAAAACGTAATAAAGGTAACACAGAGCAATCAGAATAACCACCAGTGATGACAAAATCGTCTCCAGAGATGCTTCAGCAGCTCAGACACTAAGAAATATGAACCAACCCCAGGGAGGTCAGTGTCACCACCAACTTTACTGATGACCCCTATCTCAGAACGTAAGAGTTAGTTATTCACAGAACGATTATGCCATTTCGTCAGGTCTCTCAGTTGAGAGGCACACTGGAATACGACCACAGCACATCATGGGAAATATGGGTACGATATGCTAGATGCTCAAAGAATTTGAAATTGCGAGGCACTAGGGTTAAGGCAGCATAGATATAAGCTAAAAATTCAGATGTGCCACGGGGATGTTAGGAAATACTTCTTTAGTTTCATGGACGTGAATAAGTAGAATGAGCCAGATGACGAGGAATTGTTAGAAGCAGACTCTATACACAGTTTCAAGAGAGGCCAGGGATACATAACGACGATTGTACACAAATAACCCGCACATAGAAGAGAGGAGCTTACGACGACGTTTCGGTCCGACCTGGACCATTTACAAAGGCACACTAACAAAAATAGAGGAGGGAGTATTTATAGGCTAGCAGGCTATGGTTTAAGTCGGACCGAAACGTCGCCGTAAGCTCCTCTCTTCTATGTGCAGGTTATTTGTGTATTGTTTCGGTCA